GTGGGCTGCCCCGCTGCTGGCGTCCTCAGAGGCTTTGTTCCCCATCTCCCTGGTCTGCTGGTCTCCAGCAGACCAGGGAGACGCGGAGCAAACCCTGTTCGTTAACTGCGGATCCGACATAAGTTGGATCCGCATAACTCGGGGACTGCCTGTAACTGAATATTCATATCAAAATACCTTAACTCAAGGGTTCTCAAACTTTCCCCCTCTAAGTTGCTTGCGACTCCCCCGGTGAGTTGGGACCCGCAGTTTGAGAAACGTGGCTTTACTTGATCATTTTATGTCTTTATAAGTCTTATGGACTCTCCTCCTCCTCCCTCATGCAAATTCTAATTTTGCTGTGTAATTTATATAAATCACAGAAAATAACAAGAAAAATATTTTTGCATGGGACAAATTATACTAAATTTTGTTCAGTTACATAAGCGAGACCCACCTACCTCAAGAAGTCAGTGTAGCTGCATCTAGATGACATCCCTCTGTGAACAGAGGGAGGTAAATGAGGCACTTTGAAAGTGCAAATGAAGCGGGGATTTAAATATCTTGCGCGTCATTTGCATAATCATGTCATGGCACTCTTTCGAATAAGCACCATTTCAAAAGTAAAACCTCGGACTAGACGCACTTCTTTCGAAAACGGAAGGCTTTTTCGAATTATCCTGTAAACCCTAAGGTGATTATGCAAATGAAGCGTGGGATATTTAAATCCACGCTTCATTTGCACTTTCGAAGTGCCTCGTTTACATCCCTCTGTCGACAGAGGGATGTAATCTAGACGTAGCCTAAGTGTTAAACATATGTGCCTTAACAGGTATGTCTAGACAGCAAAGAAAAACCTGTGGCTGGCTAGTCCCAGACAACTCATGTTTGTGAGGTACAGGCTGCAGGAATTTTTCTTTGCTGTGTACACTGCCAAGTTTGGGCAGGACCCACACCTTGCAGGGTTCAGAGCTTGGGTTCCAGTCCAAGCCTCGAAGTTTGCACAGCAATCAAGTGAGCCCCATACCCTGAGCCCAAGTAAGCAGCCATGGGCTAGCCATAGGTGTCTAGCTGCTATACAGACATACCCAAAGACAGAAGCTTGGAACACAAAAGGAAGCAAGTCACAATCTAATACCAAACCTTACAGGGCTTGTCTGCACAGGGAAATGTACTGATATAAATTACACCAGCATAACTTCCCATGTGGGCATAAGATTGTTGATGAGGGGGAATTATACTGATATAATTATAGCAGTATAATTTTGTCAGTCAATTTCCTACTGTAAACAAGCTCTTAGGAATATTCAAGATAAGAGAAAGATACCATGAAACTACTGCTACTGTAAAATGAATGTAGATTTGCTGGAATAAGAATGGGACTGATTTCATATTGCAGCACAAATATTAAAGGTGGAGGAATTAAAGCTAGTCATAGCAAAACACGTTTAAGCCATAAATCCATAAAATAGTCAAGTGGATACTTACGAGGTTAGGTTCAGGATGGGTGACAGTCAAAACTGCATGAGTTCGACTGATTGACTGATCATCCTGAATTAAAATTGAACAGTTCTTGCGTCCAACAACATACTCAGTGCCAACCAATAGTCGATATGGCTCTCCTGATAACAACAAAATTAACAAAGATTTAATAACAGAAAAACATAAAGTACCTGTGAGCCATTCAAAAGCTTGCAGTCTTGTAATCCTAGGTCTATCAGGTATGACTAGAAGTGCAACTAATTTTACAGCTACATTTTCCCCTTCTCACTGGCTCCTGCACACTTAAGGTGCACTCACTGTTGTGATGAAAAAGAAAATGAAGTACATCAGATGCTTAAACTAAAAAAACTCACATACTGCACTATTACTAACAGGAAATGTAAAATACTTTTTGGGAACCATTGTGTTTTACGTGGCGGGGAAAAGGATATCATACTGCTATTTACCACAAGCGAAATATGAGTCAACAGTGTGACATTGTTGTGAAAAAAGCAAACATGATTCTGGGATGCATTAACAAGAATATTGTGAACAAGACACGAGAAGTCATTCTTCCGCTCTACTCTGCACTGATTAGGCCTCAGCTGGAGTATTGTGTCCAGTTCTGGGTACCACATTTCAAGAAAGACGTGGAGAAATTGGAGAAGGTCCAGAGAAAAGCAACAAAAATGATTAACAGTCTAGAGAACATGAGCTATAAGGGAAGACTGACAGAATTGGGCTTGTTTAGTTTGGAAAGGAGAAGACTGAGAGGGGACATGATAGAAGTTTTCAAGTATCTAAAAACGTGCTACAAGGAGGAAGGAGAAAAATTGTTTTCCTTGGCCTCCGAGGATAGGACAAGCAGCAGTGGGCTTAAACAGCCACAAGGGAGGTTTAGCTTGGACATTAGGAAAAACTTCCTATCAAGGTGGCTAAACACTGAAATGAATTGCCTAGGGAGGCTGTGGAATCGCCATCACTGGAGATATGTAAGAGCAGGTTAGACAGATGTCTCTCCGGGATGGTACTTGGTCCTGCTGTGAAGGCAGGGGACTGGACTCAATGACCTCTCGAGGTCCCTTTCAGTTCTATTGTTCTATGATTCTATAGTATAGAATGTAATTGAATGGTCATGTAACTACATCAAATTTTAGTAGTTACACAACTGTTTGATAGTCCCCAGAGGCGGGACTGGCAGCCAGTGCATTCCCGGCCCCACTCCTAGAGAGCCCCCTGCTACTCCATGCTGCTGCTCCCTCTAGCATCAACTCCTGCTTGCCCCTCCCCACCACTACCTTTGTAAAAGGCAGCAAAAGAGAGGGCAAGAGGGTCCGCAGAGCCAGCATGCACGGAGAGCAGGCTTAAAAGCCTAGGATAGCTAGGTCAGGTAAAAATATTATTCTTCTGACATAACTATGATAGAAAAACTGTTTAGTGTATTCCAGACCTTAGTCAAGAAACCAAAGAATGAACAAGCATGAAGAATAAATGATCCTCCTGAAAAATAACTCAGCAAGATCAGGGATGAGGTATGCAAAAAAGACAGTTCCACCACACAAAGGCACTCAAGTTATCCATGCTGCATGAGTTCTTCAACTTGATGTTTCTGGAGCCTGTAATCCTCCATCCATTTGATATCTTTTGCGAGCAATAAAACTCAAATCATAGTGAGGAAAGATGAAGGACTATTTTCCTGAAGAATTTATTAAAAATGCAAAGTATTTTTTCCTCCTCAAAATCTTTTCACATTTTAACTCAACAGAAGAAATGTATACATTCTATTTCACTGTATTTACATGAAGTAAAACTTCTTGTAAATACAATTGCTGCCCTCAGATAAACCATTAACTGACTAAGCAATATAACTGAGGTCACAACACCATGTTTTACAAAAATTTTAATCTAATTCTTGCACTGTCATTACAGTTCTTGCTGAGAGTGGGCTTAAATGACAGAGGGGATAAAAATTAATTCTAATAGTTAATAAATACTAGCTATATGTTGCTGACATTATTTTAATATATTTACAAATTAGATACAAAGGAGGGTGAAGTGAATAGTGACAAGATTTAGGATGTTCAAAGTAAATAAAAAGTTACTTTGCGTGCTTAAGAATATATATGATTACAGAAACCCAGGGGCCCTAACAAAGCTGGATGGCAGAGGAAGTTCATTATTGACACATACAAAGTAAAGCATATTGCAATGAACAAATTTGCACTGCTCATACAAAGTACAAGTAAATTAACTTTACACACACACACACACACACACACACACACAAAAAGACCACTATGGACAACATAAGGAAACCTCTCTGAAACATGCAATAGCAATAAAAAATGCAAACAAATTGCTAACCTGCATAAAGAATGATAGAAAATAATAACTGAAAATATTACATAAATCAACAGCACAGTCTCATGTAGAATATTATGACCAGTTCTGGTCACACTGTTTCCAAAAAGTCTTCAGAGAAAGAAGTGATGAAAATGATCAGTGGATGTGATATATCTTGACTTTAGCAAAGCTTTTCATACAGTCCCCCACAATATTCTTGCCAGCAAATTAAGGATTATGGATTGGATAAATGGCCTATAAGGTGGATAGAAAACTGGCTAGATTGTCAGGCCCAACAGGTAGTGATCAATGGCTGGATGTCAGGTTGGCAGTCAGTTTCAAGTGGCATGCCCCAAGGATCGGTTCTAAGGCCAGTTTTGTTCAACATCTTTATTTATGACTTGGATGAGGGGATGGATTGCACTCTCAGCAAGTTTGCGGATGGCACTAAAATAGGGGGAGAGATAGATTTGCTGGAGGGCAGGAATAGAGGCCAGAGTGACCTAGACAGATTAGAGGCTTGGGCCAAAAGAAATCTAATGAGGTTCAACAAGGACAACTGTAGAGTCCTGCACTTGGGAAGGAAGAATCCCAAGCACTGTTACAGGCTGGGGACCGACTGGCTAAGTAGCAATTCTGCAGAAAAGGACCTGGGGATTACAATGGATGAGAAGCTGGATATGAGTCAACAGTGCGCCCTTGTAGCCAAGAAGGCTTATGGCATATTAGGTTGCATTAGGAGGAGCATTGCCAGCAGATCCAAAGATGTGATTATTCCCCTTTATTTGGCACTGGTGAGGCCACATCTGGAATACTGTGTCCAGTTCAGGGCCCTGCACTATATAAAGGATGTGGACACATTGGAGAGGGTCCAGCTGAGAGCAATCAAAATGATCAGGGGGCTGGAGTACATGACCTATGAGGAGAGGCTGAGGAATTTAGGTTTATTTAGTCTGCAGAAGAGAAGAGTGAGGGAGGATTTGATAGCAGCCTTCAACTTTCCAAAGGGAGGTTCCAAAGAGGAAGGAGAAAGGCTGTTCACAGTAGTGATGGATGGCAGAACAAGGAGCAATGGTCTCAAGTTACAGTGGGGGAAGTCCAGATTGGATATTAGGAAAAACTATTTCACTAGGAGGGTGGTGAAGCACTGGAATGGGTTACCTAGGGAGGTGGTGGAATCACCATCCCTAGAGGTGTTTAAGTCTCCAAAGCCCTGGCTGGGTTGATTTAGTTGGGATTGGTCCTGCTTTGGGCAGGGGTCTGGACTGGATGACCTCCTGAGGTCTCTTCCAGCCCTAGGATTATATGAAAGGGCAATCACATTAAAATGAGTAAAATGCATTTGTAAGGAGGTGTGCTTCCCCTGTGGAACTCATAGCACGTGATACCGTCCAAGTGACAAAATCAGGCACCGACAGAGTTAGGAGACCAGCCCAATTACACGCAATATAAAAACCTGATTTACAGGGGGCGGGGCCACTGGCGCTGCAAGCCCCCCTGCAGCAGACAGGAGCCAGAAAGTCCCCGCGGGTTGCTCGCTGCGAGCTCGCACACCGGGGGCAGGGAGCTGAACCCCTCTGCCCCAGGCCGGCTGGCCCGTGACAGGCAGCACTCCCAGCCCCCCGGCTTCCAGCGCCTCTGACCCGCCC